TGTGACAAAGCGCGTAAACGACTTGATCGTTGTAGCCTTCGCCTTGGTCGTGTTGGCAGGCACAAGATCTTGGATCCCCATGCAGAATGATATGCCAAAGTGATTGCTACCAATTGTCCGAACACAATATTATATGCAGGAAAATATGTGTTAATGCTAGCGTTTGTATTGCACATATTCATATTTTGTGATCCATTCGGACAAAATCTGTCCGAACTGGTCCGATCTTGTCCTAGCAATTACGTATACTTCGATTGGCTGAAATGTTCTCGAAAAACAACATAATGCAAGTATAATTGGCTGGTAATCATGTCCCCGGGTCGGATTGGTTATAATTCCGGATACAATGCACAAGTATGTCCGCAAAGTGATCATATTCACCCATACCATAACGACTCGGACAAATATTTGCTGGATATGTGCTTCGGACACGCACTTAACCGAATTTACGCATTAAATGCGAATAGTTGTACCACAGGCCTTGTCCGGGTAGCGGCACGGCCTGCGGCCTACCTGCCGCTTTTCCCGACAAGAGGAATCGATTGGACATTCGGTGAAGTGTACGATTGGGGCTCACTCCTCGCCAAGGCACCGCCTGCACAAAATTATACACACGACCTCCGCTACGCTGCGGTGTGCGCAATTTTGTGGGCGGATGCTCTGTCGTCGCTCGCTACTGTAAAGCTGATCGTTCTTATGCGGGTTAATACAATACACAAGTATATCCGAACATATTCCGTTCGGACACTTTCATTCGGACAAAATATGTTCCCCTTAAGTCCAATACAAATGCCAAGTATGTCCGACTGATATTGTCCGAACGTGTCCGCAAAGTAATCATATTCACCCATATGCTCAAGAATAACATGCCCAAATTCGATGGTAAGAAATATGAAATGATACGAGTATTATATGTCATTACAGGTGGCCCATCTACGATATCCGTAAAAATGCTTTGGTCATCGTCGCTTTCTTCATCGTCACTTGATTCGTCCTCGCCTAGTGCAGGCTCATTTGCAGCCTCGTCGGCGGCTTCCAGCTCGAGCAGGTACGTATTGAGATCCACCACTTTCTTCTTTGTGTACACGGTAGATCACATTGCTTGGGAGCTTACTGAAGGCCAAGTCCAGGCGCTGCCGCACATCTTCCATGGTCGTCGCCATCGTGTATTGTCGCCCGACGCCACCCTTCAGGTAGGACCACACGTACTCAATTGGCTGTAGGTCTGAATGGTATGGAGGCGTGTAGACAACTTCAAAGTTTCGCGCTCTTGCCATCGCCACGACCTCAGGTAGGACGTTCTGTCGTACTTGTGCTTGGACCTTCGACCAAATCACTGATTGGTACTCATTCGAGGACGCCGCCAGCAAGTCTTGCTTCTTCCACGTTCCCTTGGGCGTGTCGTGTGGGACGCCTTTTTGATACGAGGCGTTGTCCATGATGATGACGGCGCCAGACTTGCCAAGTACGTCCAGTTCATTCATCAATTCCTTCATCCAGGTGACGAAGTAGGCATGGTTAAACATGCCATGATAGTCCTTGGTTTGCCGCGAACCACCACGGAACACCCTTGTCGCGAGCAGCTTGGATCCGTCAGGGCCGTCGTCGAGAATTCCAGCGATGAAGCATAGCCGCTGCCCTTTGTGCTTGGGCTTAGGTGCTTGGTCGAGCTCGTCGTCGGAGTAGTACAGGCTATCGTTGTGCCGGGCATAGTTGTGGTGGATGTACGATTCGTCCATATATATAACAGGTCGATGAGGTGTTAATTCAATCGTACCGGACATATATTTAATGTACTCTTCTCTAGCAATAACAACTTCATCAGTAAGACCATATATGACCTGACCTTTTATTTGTCCTCGTTTAAATCCACGACTCAAAAGATAGTCCTGAACGGTTCGTAGACACGCTTTTGTATCATTGTTGTCGGTTTCATCGTACGCAACATGACCATGCTGTTTCAAAACTGTCATAACATCTTTCGCTACGACTCGTGTTCGGGTTCGACGTCGCTCGCGGACGAATTCTACAATGAGACGCAGCACTGCTTTTGTCTTTGGAACTCGAGATGTATGAGTAGAATTGTTAGCAGGTAGTTGTTTGACAAGAAGTACTTTTTTATCTCTATACTGCTTCCATACCTCGTGAACGACCTTTTTACTACGTCCGAGGATTGATGCAATGTGTTCAGATGCGGAATCAACGTTTTCACGTCGAAATTGTGCGTGCAACCGAAGTATGTCCAGCCGTTCTTCTTTTGTTAGTGCTCGTGGTCACTCACTCTTCACGTACGACGTGACCTCGTCGTACTCGTCGTCTGTGATGGTCGAGTTGCGAGGCATGTCAAAGTGAAACTGGTGGTGTGCAACATGTATGCGATTATCCGGATGTATTGGCGACGAGAGGTTCGGCAATGAATGGTGAGGTGAAACTCTACACATGAAATATTATTAGTTTTGTCAATATATTAGATTTGATGTGTAAATCTGGACCTGAACTGCAATGTTTTTCAATGCAAACTCGAAGGGAATTAAATTTCAAGCGAAATTAGCAGTAGAGGCGGAATCCCCGTGAAAAACTGCATCGGCGTGTGTAATTTGGTCATCCGAAATTGTCAAAAACGTAAAAAATGTCGTAGTGACCCCTGGATGGTCTTGTCGACTGTAAACATGGTGAATAATCCGGATACAATGAAAACGTTCGTACGGATAAGTGCTGTTTACAAAGACCAAGATATACTTGATACTCCTTTTCGGCCACAATGTACCTGGTTCCATATATCTCCGTACAAAAAGGCCGGTTGGTTTAAATTCTATTACTCGATCAATTTTTCACCAATCGAAAATCTGAACCGTAACTTCTGTTGGACTTGTCCAGTTCTATCGTTATTACGGTATATTTTCCTAAATAATATCAATACAAAGTTGGAATAGCTGTCGAAAGTCAAGGCATTTATTTGTAGTATTTAGGTGACTTGCACCATAGTATGTGTTTGTCTCATGCGAAAGAGTCTGAAACGGGGAATTATAATATGCAACTTCCACATTCCGGATGTCAATCCTGAACGACATATGGTCAAGTGAACATTACACAAATTTGGCAAATCACTGATTGCTCACGTTACCACGTAAGTGTAATAAGACCTCTATCTACGGATACTTTAGTACCCTCCTCAGAGTACAATTCTCTGATTAAAACAGTTACATTGTTGTTTTTCTCAGAAAACACTGCATTTGAGTATTTATATGGAACTTTGTATGCTCGGACCACCTCGCCTCTTACTAGGGTCCGAGGTTTCGCTCCGGACATGCTTGCGAACAACGACAAGTCGGCGCCCGTGAGGCCAGTTTTCCCGAAACCCTCGACTTTATGGGAATGTCTGATGTCGTGTACCTGGATAAAAAGTGGTTCAATTCGGAGAAGGACCGGTAAAAGGTGTCCAAACGAAAGGAGAGAGACACCGAACCACCAAGCTTGCAAGAGAAAGCAATTCATTCCGAAAGTGATGTTCCTTGCGGCTGTTGCATGTCCATGTTATGATTGTGGAGTTATGTTCGATGGCAAGCTTGGTATGTGGCCTTGCGTGAAGAACCTGCCAGCGGCACGAAGTTCGCGAAATCGAGTCGGTGGAACTATTGCAACGACGGATCCGGAACAAGCGGGACGTACTTTAACAAGACTATGCAACACCGCATGGTGCCTTCACGCATGACATTCTTGCCCGCGTTTCGACTGACTCGTGGATGTGCGCCGCCAGTCACCAAACAGCCCAGACTTGAACGTGCTGGATCTTGGGTTCTTTGCGTTGATTCAAGCGCTACAGTACAAGTCGGTGGTCGATTACATGATTCGGGCTACCCTGACTGGCAGCATACGACGTCCTCAATGTCGTGAAGCTTGAGAATGTTTTCCTGACGTTGCAGGCTGTCATGTGCCTTGCGCTCGAGCACCATGGCGGCAACAACTTCCATTTGCCGCACCTCAACAAGGACGCCATGAGATGCGCAGGCACTCTCATGGCGAATGTTTCGTGCCATGTGCCGCTTCTTCTGCAGTGCCCAATTGCATAACGATAACCTGACCAGTGAGAATTGTTACCAATACAAATCAAGCTTTTTCTCAATAAACCAATGATATACAAATGTCGACAGTAATTTGGAAAAAGTGGACGTCTTACCACTGTAGGATACACACGACGCTTGTGTCCATGTCGAATTCTACATGGACATCACGACTCATATACTGTACCATAGACCCAGCACCATGGTCTCATGTGAACATAAAGTGATACCACGTATAAATTCTATGTAGTACAGTCTATATAAAGTAAGCACTACCGGTAGTCGATGATGTAAAAGTGTTGTCTTATTGTTGAGGAATGGTACTCCCATTTATGGATATCAATTTGTTTTCAAAATATGGTTTAACGTTTACTTGTAAAATTTTCGAAACTAAATGATTTTCTGATTTGACTTGCAGCATTTTATAGGCTTCCCTGAGTTGATGTCTATGTGCACCTAGGTGGCATACTGCATTAATTCATTTCAAATAAATTCCCCAGCCTCGCCGCTGAGATGTATCTTGATTTTGTACGTGACTCTTATCCGTATATAATACCCGGAGGCAGTTGGGACCTTAAACCTCCCACTGCAGTGATAAAACGCATGAAATCGGTATTTAGCGTATTTGGTTTTAACTACATTAATTATACGTTAAATAATAAAACCTCCACTCTTCGATTTGGCCAGTTGGAAGTTTTAAGATGACGGTCATCATATTTATCATTTAATTTGTAGCGATTCCAATCGTGCACTTAATATCGAACTTCAACTCTCTTGAATCGTGCACTTATTCACGAACAGAGGTCGTAGTAATGTATTGTGGAAAAAACTGTCTGATTTGAGTTCATGAATTGTACGTAATGCATTGTACTACACATTTGAATGGCTAGGGGAATATCAATTTTCCATTATCAAACGTTTCGGATTGTGAAATACTTCCTGCCTAGAGGAATATGGCATTACATATTACGGAGCTCACTGCTACCTCGAACGGCGGCCACGGCTGGTTCAGCCTCCTTCTCGGTTTTCGTGGCAGCGGTTGCTTTTGGTTTGTTATGCGGTGAGTTTGCATGTATTCTATTTTCTCGAGTACTTGAAAATATTATGGAGCTAACTGCTACCTCGAGCGGCAGTGGCATTTGTTTTGGAGTCGTTTCCTAGTTGGGATTGGAGCTGCTTATTCATCACTAAATCATTGAAGAAAAAATAATTGACAATTAAATACAGAAATAATTGATTGCGAGGTGCTAGACAACTACAATTATTCATTGTTGGGGGGAATTATATATTGTATTGGTGGTCCCTAGACACCAATAATTGTGTGATTTCGACCACCCAACCACAACTACACTCACATGCAATCAACATTCGTAGTCACGCCCAAGATGAGGTCTTTCATGCCCAAGATGAGGTCTATCATGCCCAAGGACATAACCAACTTCTGGATTAACAAGCTCGGCGAGACGACCTCGACCGCCACGCGTTGGTCGTCCTACCACGCAATGGTCAGCCGCTATATGAAGTTCAGGCCGCAAATGTCTGACTTCGACGACGAGATGTGGTCAACCTTCTCCCAACACCATCGGACGACCGCGCAATCACCGAGCTTGTTGGCCACCTCAACAAGTTCAAGTCCGTGACCAAGTACCTACAACGTCAGAGTCTGAGCATGGTACATGTCCGAACGCTCTTCGGACATTTACCATGCGCAGGCTCTGGCGCTATCTGACGATTTTCAGACATGTACCAAAGCGCGGACAAATTTAAGACCAAAGCCAGCAAGGTGGTAGAGGAATGGACGGATCACCTTGAGCGGGACGCCCCACGTTCCTTCAATGCTGTGGGTCTTTTTGAAATCGACGAAGTCCGCTTGGCTGAAGTTGAGTGTAGCCGAGAGCTTCGTGGCGGCGGTGCACATGGCTTCAGGGAGGCATTATTTCGTAAGGCTGGCTGAAGCAGGATACTGTATGTGAGGTTGGCTCTTGAGCCACTTGGAGTATGTGGTGGGGAAAGGGTAGGTGTTGCAGTAGGTATCGTATTCCTTCAAGATGGGGACGGTTTCCGCACGATTGGAGTGCTCGGGTTCGCGGAAGAGGTGCGTGACCGTGCCTCCTTGTTCGGTGCGCACTTTGGCGACGTATGTATATTCCGGATCGTTGTGGTCGTCCCGATGATGCTTGATGAACGAAGCGATGGTGTAGCTTGAGGGTGGGGAACGTTGGCCAGAGTGGCTTGTAACTATACTACTAGTAACTACTGGGAGGAAGAGGAAAGAACTGGAATATTCAGTGGCACAGATACGTGGTGCATGGGCGAAACTTCGGAGCCAATCAAATGGCCTGAAAAAGTAACGAAGGAGGTGTAAAAACACGGCGGAGAGGGGTGAGCAAGGCCGCTTGAGTGGTGGAGAGGCAGTCAAAGTCCACCGATTGGCGTTTTGGATGCGGAGCGTGAGCATCCAAGGCGCCGCCAGTTCTGCTCGGTCGGGCCCCAAACTGTGCAACCATGTCCACAGCAAGGCCACGACCATTTCTTGCATTGGTTAGGCGGCAGTCGTGTTTTTCATGCTTTTCGGGCGGGGAGGCCATTTTTGGCGTTTAGGGCGATGACATTTCTTCGCGGATGGTCCCCAAACTTTGGGGATCATGGTCACGGCATGGCAGCGGACATTGCGTGCATTGGCGACCACGGCTGGATTGCCGTCCCTTGCAACGTGGCGTGTCCGGCACCGATTTCCGGCGGGTGCAACTAAGGTACGTTTGGGGTTGCTTTGTCTAGGCCGAGACTAGTGAGGGCGTTGTCCGCTAAAGTCAGGGACTGCCATCCCTGACTACCGAGGACGGCGTCGTGAGAGTGGCAGCTTTCTTCCCTGGGAGAGTCTCCGCGGACGAACTTCATTTTTTTATTTTTTCATTCTTGACTCGATGATGTTGATGTTGTGGGGTGGACTCTTCAAGCAAAAATTCTCCCGGGAGCTGGACCGAGCGTTGGATGCCAAGGTAAGTGCTTTCATGATCTCTTCCGTGTTCGTGCTTCAGCGAAGGGGACTTCGTCGATTTCAAGATATCCCACAACATAGAAGGAACATGGGGTGTCCCGCTCAAGGCGATCCGCACCTTCCTTTACCACCTTGCTGGTTTTGGCCTCAAACTCGACCGCGCAGCCATGAAGATCTACCATGTCGGTCACGCTTTAGGCACGGTCCAAGACAACCTCCGACGTGTTCTCCCTTCCCTCCAGACCCACGCACTTGTGATACTGGCGGATGAAACACTCTCCCACGCCATGATCGCCTCCCCCTCAGCGAATGGCTCCACCCTCACGGACGCCAGCGGGATCTACTCGATTGAAAAACCACTGGCTTCAACCAAGTGATCTACATCCTTTCCCTGGTACTCCAACCCCCGTCACTCTCCAAGGGCGCCAAAAAAGCCCGCAAGAAGTCAGCCAACCAAGATGTCATGACTGCCTCCAAATAGATACTAGTTAATTGCTCTAGTAGGTTTCTGTCATTGGAACTCAACCCCATTAAGTTTAATGTACACTTTTCACCCAGCCAAACTAACAAAAAAAATAGAAAAGAAAAGAAAGCAAGGGAAAAAAAAGAAAAGAAAACAAATAACGTGATCGACCAGTGATGGGCCGAAAAATTTCGATTTTCGTTGATGAGTTCCTCCGCGGGTATTTGTGCTACAGGTATGGCCATGACATATTCTGAAAGGCTGCGTCAAGCACTATCAGGTACACATAAACGCAATCGGTTTAGACAGTTCATGTTCGCAGAAATAAATTCCAAAGTTGCAGATTTTTCATGGAGTCCCAGTGATGGGCCGAATTTTATACTTGATTTAATTATTGAATAGGGTTGTGGGAAACCATGACCAGCAACCTGAAAATTATAAATTGATAAAGGAATAGCATATCTCGACAGGAATAAGATTTTGAAGAATTGTGTCAGCCAATCTTCGAACGGATGAAACTCACACCAAGCGTACGGCATGCTCCAGGCCATCAATTATCCTTACAGAGTACGGGCGCAGGAAGAAAAACGTAGGACACCTGTGTTATTATTTAACAGATGTGCCGCCCCAGCCAAACTAACAAAAAAAATAGAAAAGAAAGCAATGGAAAAAAAAAGAAAAGAAAACAAATAGTAGAAAAGCCTACCGCGAACACAGGACTTGCAGGACATTGGAGAAGCCACATCCAGCCATCTGGCAGCGACCCAGGAACCACTCAAGAGCCCACGCTCCACAGCCAACCATCTACTCCGCACAAACCACCACCTAGTGGGGGCGTTGTCCGCTAAAGTCAGGGACTGCCATCCCTGACTACCGAGGACGGCGTCCGCTGCCATGCCGTGGCCATGGTCCCTACGTTTGGGGACCATCCGCCAAGAAATGTCGGCGCCCGGCCGCGCCGACCGCCCAAAACGGCCCCAAGAGCCAAAATAGCTGTAATCGGCGACCGCCGCCCCGAAAACACGACCGCCACCGAACCAGTCTTGGCTACTAATTCAAGAAATGTTCGCGGCCTAGCCGTGAACATGGTCGCGCAATTTATGACCCATCTGAGCAAAACTGGCGGCGCCGATCACCCAAAACGACCCCGGAGCCGCAAAAACATCGGCAAGCGCTTCCGCTCACTCTGCATCCAAAACGCCAATGGGTGCACTTTGACCGCCTCTGCACCACTCAAGAAGCCTTGCTCATCCACCTCCGCCGTGTTTTCACACCCCCTTGGTTCCATATTGGTGACGAAACCTTTTCAGGCCATCTGATTGGCTCGGAAGTTACGCCCAGCCATCACGTATCTGTGCCACCGAACACTCCAGATCTTTCCTCTCCCTCTCAGTAATTACTAGTAATATAGTTACTAGTAGTACTAGCATTTATACTAGTAGGTTGTCAGTCATTGGGAAACTCAACCCTATTATGTACTACATAGTATAATGTAAATTTCTAACCCAGCCAAACTCGCCACTTTCGAATTTGCTATCTGGTGCTCAAGTTCTCAACTTGCCATCTGTTTCGTATCCAACTGTACCCCGGCTTGTCCACCCGCTTCCTGAGTCCGTGCTACGCTACTCTCCCATCGACCGCCATGACCAAGCCAACCAAGCCCAAGAGCAAACCGAGAGTTGCTGACGCCCAGTTGCCGCAGAATCCATCGCTTGAGTCTGATTCCACCAGTAGGGCAGTATCTGAAGAGCGCAATGCTCACAGAACGAGCCCTCACTCCTCTGTAGGGGTTGGAGATGGTGGGAAAGGACCTGTACAGATGGATTTAGCGGCAATCAAGGCCAAACGCAATGCTTTGTTTGCCACCCACGACCCACCGTCCATCTCCCGTCCCAGCGATGCCGATCTGGACATTGCCATCGACGCACTGACAGTCGCCAATCTCACTGGCGACCACAGGGAGCTGCGCTCGCGCGCACTCCTCCGTTGTCCTACAAAGTCAGCGGAGAACCACACGATGTGGATCCCAGCGAAGAAAATCCATACTGGTCCGGTCCCAGTAGGGAAGGCAGGATAGTATTCGTGCGTTTGGCGAGGATAGCAGGCGCAAGCTTGGCTGCCACGTTGAGTAGGGTTAACGGCCTGTAATTAGAGTGCAGGTCTTTGGAGCCACCCTTGAAAAGCAGTGACAGGAACGCTTTCCGTTGCAGAGTAGTCATGCGTTTTCTTGAAAAGTTGAACGCGTGTACAATCTCCAGCAGGGTGCCCCAGAGAAGTCCGTCCGGGACAGGAGCCTTGTGTTCCGGGCCAGCTTGAATTGCACTTGGAAATTCTGCAGCCGAAAGAGGTGCTTCTAAAAATTCCCGTTGATCTTCAGTCAGGCACGAAACCTGACGTGTGCTGAAGAATCATCCTGTGGAGGGTGGGATTCACTTGACAACTCGCTGCTTGGTTGAGCTTCTAGTGCCGTGGAAATTTCAGCAACGCGGAGACGAAGACGATCACATTCCTTCCCGTCTTGATCACGGTGTGTAGTCACTATAGACTGGAGGTACGTCTTGTCGTGAAAAAGATGGTCGTCCATAACGTTGGCAGGGTTGAAGCCCGGAGTACCCTGTGGCAATAATCCGGCTACAGTGCACTTCAAGGTGTAGTTGAGATGTTGTCGGACCTGCGGGAGCTGAAGTACCCAGCGTGGGCAGGTTGCATTTTTCTTGGGCTTGTATGAGTTGGCGGCCAAGGAAAAAGCGATAGGGGCGTGATCATTGTGGAAAAATACTTGATATTTGTTCACGTGGTATCGGATCGACTGAAGGTTTTCTTGATAAAAAAGGCCCGAAAGAAAAACATAGTCGATGCGGTTGGAATGAGTAGGGTTGGAATAGACACGGGAGTCTGGGTTGAGCAGTCTCCAGGAGTCGACCACGCCCAGTGAGGACATCCAGCGCTCTAATGCGTCAAGGCCGGTTGGCCGACGATGGGAATGGACGACCTTGTCGAGAGTTGGGTTCAAAACGAGGTTGAAATCACCACAAATAATGTGGCGAGAGTTCCCGTCGAAGTCCGTTGGCAGAGCAGTGAAAAATTCTGCTTTTCGCGGGTCATCACCAGTGAGGGCGTAAAGCACGTGGATGTATATCACGATGCCATCCAAGTTCCCTTTGACCACTAGATAACGGTTTTGGGCAATCTCGGGCAGGTCCAGTGGAGTAACATCCGTGAGATGTTGAACGGGGGAAGACTTTGAGAAAAGTAGGGCACAGCCATTTCTTCGCTCAAACGTGTTGCAACTGGAATTGGACCAAAAGCTGGAGCCTTGGGCATCAGTCTTGAACCAATTGAGAGAAGCCATGCGCAACATGTTGGAGGAAATGTGTGTTTCTTGGAGGGCAATAAAATCTTAGCGGCGGAGGGGAAAATAATCGTGGGGTGTACTGTTCGCAAGACCATTGGCATTGATGAATAAACCATTGAGCGACCAATTATGGGCTGGAGCAGATATTGGTTGATGTGAATGTTTGGAAGGCAGCACTGAATGGTCTCATAGTGGCAGATGAGACCATGATTTTCCCCAACTCCGAGTTAACCCATTCCGCGAGGGTGTCATCCGACCATAGCAGGAGCTTCGAGCACTCAAGAGACACCAAAAGGCTTGTCTGCGTCGCATGGGCCATTTTGACTGGGTCAGAGTAAATGGACGGAGCCGAAATCATTGCAAAAAGGCCCCATAACGCCAGCTGAATGTGATGTTGAGCGGAAAAATCGGGGGTCTCTTGGGAACACAGTCGATCCAGCGCGGCACCTGGGGAGAGCGTGTCACCCAATTCGTCCTCGAATAAGCTGCAAAAATCATCCAGAACTTGAGCAATAGGTAGGTTGCGACCGTCGATTTTGAATGCTGCTGGCTTGGTGCTGCTGAGCAAGCGGTATAAAGCATGGCTAGAAGCTTTGCTGATCCAGTAGTCTTCCAGGCCAGGATGGGCAAGCGCAGGCCGAAAAAGGTCGGTTGTGCTTGGAGGGTTTGAAAAAAATTATCGCCATATTGCATGTCTTCCAGAGTTTGGACGCAGAGTTCAGAGACCAGCGAGGTAAGGTCTTCCTTGGAAATATTGTCGACATGAAATTGGCTTGCCAGTTTCTTCAAAAAGAGCTTGGAGTTGGATTTGGAGACCGTTGGGCTAATTCCAAGCGTCGTGGGGGAAAGAAAGACCTTGAGATCGAAGTCCAGATCCAAGGTCAAAATTTCGTAGCGGTTCGACGGAGGGACTTCCCAGTTGCGCGTGGACGTAGAGGCGTCAAGCTTTGTCTTGGCCTTGACTTCCACAGCTTCTAATTCTTCCGATGGAACTTCAAAAACGCGGGATTTGAGTTTCTTGTGCCAAATGGACGGAGAGTCTTTAAGCGTAGGTAAAGATGCAGGCGAACCAGGTTCCGGAATGGAAATTATTGCTGGTGCAGACGATTCGGATGGTCGGCTCGAGGTGGCTGCACTGGAATTTTGCGTCGTTTGCCCTTGATACTGTGAGGTACAAAGTCATTCAGCGCCGAGATCTTGTGAACATCGAAAGTCGGAGGCTGGTTTTGAAGGAAAAAGATTTCCTGGAGAGGCTCATCGGTTTTCTTTTGCGACCAAAGAAAAGCAGGCACGCGTTTGGAGTTGAAAATGACTTTCAACAAGTTGGATTGGAGTGAACCAACGGAGTGGGTGGGAAATACGAGCACTGGAGAGCAGCCATGGTCTTGAAAAAAATAAGAAGCAGCCAAGGGGCTCACCGTGGAAGGAACACGGTGAAGCTGAACCCAGCAAAATTGCCCAACCAGAGAGGGAGCATGAATAACATGGTCATAGCCGCAGATATTCAAGGTGGTACCGACTTACAAATTGTTGGGAAAAAATCGGATTCCTTTACCACGCACCAAGGCAAACCCAAAAAGAAATGGTCTTGCTTCGATCCAGGCCGGCACGGACGACGTGAAAAGGGAGTCCATGATCACTGGAAGGGGAAACGCTTGCGTCAGGCCAGGGGCTGGAATCCAGAATTCTTGAGAGCCTTCAGTGGCACACAAGGAAGAAGGAATAAGCGCACGACGTTCCTGTGGCGTAGCTTGTAAGGCCTTGAGAATTAAGGGCTGAGGGCTATCACGGCGCTGATGGGCAGTATACCATTCCCGGCGCCAGAGGTCGATGTTGGTGGGTGGGATTTTCTTCGAGGACGTAGCCGTTGCATAGGTACGGTCTTGAGGAGGATCCCGTCGATTGCGTGAGCCGGAGGAAGGTCCAAACCCTGGCTGGCGGTAGGTGGATGCAATATCCATACCCAGATCGGGTGATGGTTGAACATCAGCATCTGCGTTGGGTCCAGTATAGTTGCCGTCAACACATGGAGCCGGCAAAACAGCTGGTGCGGGCGGAAAATTTCCAATATCTTGATTGTTGACGTCAATACAAGGAGCCGACAAAACAGTTGAGGCCACCGGAAAAGTTCCGATTACTTTATTGTTGACGTAGGATTCAGAAGAATTCTGAAACCAGTAGGACGTTTCAGTGCTTGCCACACCCATATCAGCGTCCGTAGAAAAGGTACGAGGGCTGGAGGGAGGGTGGGCTCGCAAGCGCTTCGACGGTGTAGGTTGAGAGCAGGTAGAAGCTTCTATCAAAGATAACTGTGCCGAGAAGCTTTCGATTCACTCAAATCTCCGTTTCGTTGCAGATAAGACCGTTGGCTAGATGAGACGACACGACCAGTGTAAGCAACTGAATCAAGTTCAGAGGATGCACTGGAGATGAAAGAATCGACTGCCTCTTCCGAGCTTTGCAAAAGCACGGAAAGAGATCGGGAGGACGGTTCCATCGCTACGAGTTCGGAGGGACCAACTTCGGTAGAGGACGCGCTTACGCTGGCGCCCACTCCAACGAGGGCATCGAGGCTCGTGGCAGCAGAACAAAGTCTACTGCCTACTGCCCTACCAGCGGTTTCGCCATCTCTGGT